AGCTTTGCTCGTCGCTGCCCACAGGCCCCACCCATTAGCCCCCCCCACCCCCGTCTCCTCTCTAGCCCCGTTTGTAGCATACACACTCAGCTTGCTTTGCCCTGCCTGACTCGAGCCAGCCTTTTTGGACATTCCCTCAAATCCCCTCCACATAGTCCTTTCCCCGGGTCTAGATCATTTCCCACACCCCAATCTCCCCTTGAACTCCCTTTCCGTACCCCAGAGATGTCCATTGTCATACCTGCCCCAGAAACTCATGCTTCCTCCCCCCAGTGTCACTCTGGATTGTAATATCACTCAGGACCTTCTTGTCTTCTCCTCCCCACCTGGTTTACTTCTCTGAAGCAAATATACTCAATTCAAATATAGGAACAAAGGCCTAAGTCCTTTCTGTGCTTATTTCTTGGGTGACTGATCTTAGATCATATCATTTAATAGATAAGATGTTTTGCAAAAATGCTTAGCATAGTATGGAATAAGAAAGGGGTGATACTGTTCAGCTGCTGTTAATCCTGAAATCTGTTTCCTGATGCCCAGACTTCTGCCCATGCCCATCAGGAGCACCCTTGTTTAGGTATTATCCCCCACATTCCCAGATCTCCAGGTGTTTCTCTACCTGCTTGTCAAGATTGTAATAAAAATTAAACAGGAAGATGTGTGTAAAGTACCTGATAGCGCCCGACAGAGGCCACTACCACCCTAGGGATCGCCACCTTGCACTTGAGCTCCACACTCCCCTACCCTTGGACTCCTTCAGCCGTTTCATTCTCTCAGTCCCAACATACCTTTGAGTGTGGCCGATACTTCTTTTCTCTGTTCTGTCACCTATTTACACTTTATTTCCTTTCCCACCCTAGCAAGTTCCTAGACTTTCCCCACCTAGAATGTGCTTTAGACCCTTGTTCCCAACTGATCCATTCCAGTTGGTGAGATATGACCCAGAAGTCCTCTCATCTCCTGTTGTAGACACCGTATGTATTTTCCAAGTGTGTGATTCTCAGTTTCAGAGGGTCCCTCTCCCCTGTCTGAAGAGATCTCCAGCCTGGTAGTCTCCTGGGCAGGAACACCACCTTGATAGTCTTGCTCCCTGTGGTTTGTTTGCTTTACAGTCTACTTACAAGCAAGGGTCTCTTTTGCATCGTTTACAGAGTTAGATTTTTAGTGGAGTTGATCATGCCTTCCCAGTTGCTAAAACATCTTCATTTAGCATTCAGCTATACTGTAATACCTGGGAATCTCGGAGGTGGGGAGTGAATGAATTGCTATGTGGGAGGAAGTGAGAGTAAATGGGATGTGGCTTTTCCAGGGTGCTGTCTGATGCCACTGGGATCTCTGATTTTTCTCCCCCTCTTCCTACCCGCCCCCTGAGGAAACAATGCCCCTTTGATAATAATTTGCTCTCTGCCTGCCTCACAAGTACTCAGCTGAGTTTTCTCAGCCAACAAGACAGTGCAATCATTTGTGGTACCAAGCACCACTTTCTCGAACCCTGGCCTCATTGAGGTGATAAACAGCTGTCCTGCTCAAGGGAAGCTTCTTTCCCTCCCTCCCTCACTCCTTCCCCCACCTCCTCTTGGTGTTATACAGGGATATCATGTCCATTTATAAGGAGCCTCCTCCAGGAATGTTCGTTGTACCTGATACTGTCGACATGACTAAGGTATGTGACTTGATGGGGGGTTGGGGGTTATTGAGAAATTGGGCCCATAAAGTTGGAAGAGCCTGAAAGAGATTATCCAGTTCACCTCTATGGTTATATAGATGAAGAAATCAAGACCCCAGGAGAGTAAATGGCTTGTCTATGGTTGAGTAGTGGGGCAGAACAGGGCTTTGAACAGGTGTCTGTTCCTAGGGTGCCCATAGGTACTGGAAAAATCCTCTATATTGTCCCAGCTTAACTATTAATAAGGCATTCTCACTCTCAAAAGTGCTCCAATTTGAATGGTGAATTATATTGCTGCTCTATCCATTGTACTGCCCAGTTCTTCCTCCATACTGCCTCTCTTGATCTTAACTTTGGTACTATAAACCAGACATAGGGAAGGTTGGGGATAGGACTAGCTTGATTGAGAGTTTGTGGTTAAAGGACCTTGTTTAAGCTCCTGTCCTTACTGATCACTTTTGAATATCCCACTGCAGGAAAAATAAATAAATAAATAACAGTCCTCTCTTGTCTTCCACACAGAGAGAAACCTTAGTACAGAACATCAGTTTTTTGACATAGATACCTAGGCTTCCTGCTATTGAGTCTCACACCCTCAGAAGTAAATTTACACTTAACCTGTTACTGGAAAGAAATCAGATTGCCTAAATCTAATGTTTAAATGAACTCATAATTTCACATTTCTTACAATAAAAATTCAGGTTTTGTATTAATGGTGTTTTTTGTTTGTTTGTTTTGAATAGATCTTTTAATAATTTTTCTTTTTATGTAGTTTAAAATGTTTTTCCTGGGACGTCGTGTTCTCAGAAAAATAGTATTAATGTGCTAGTTCCTGGGGTCCCAGAATTGATACCATTTGAGACCAGTTGAGTTTACTATTCCAGATGATTGAGGGCTAGAATATGATCTGGGGCTTTGCCAGGGCAAGGTAGGGACTTTAAACTGAAGCGTTGGATTGCAAGGTCCTTTTTCATACCCTTGCTGTTCAAATTCTGAGCAGACTTAAGTGCTTAGGAGCTTTTATAAAAGAAGAAATATAAATGAGTCAGTTCAGGTTTTCATCCCTTCAGGGAGGGAAATCTTGTCCCATAATTATGGCTTGTGAAAGAAGAGACTCTAGTGTTCTGTTTTAAGGGCTGCTGAATTTGTTTTGCGACTTTTTTTTTTTTCTTTAACCATCCATGTTGGGGAACGTTCTGGGGATGACCTCATGGCTCCAAGTGGACCCCGAGTTTTCCTCATTTTCATTTATAACTTTGACACAGCTGGATGCTGCCTGAGCCACATCCTCCACAGTAGGTTTGATCCTCTGGGAGGAAGTAAACAGACACCTTAGACATCCATCCCAACCCTCAGCTCTGCACTGTTACTGGCACTGGTGCTGTGGCCTCCAGTTCCTTTCCCCTTTCCCATTCACCTTACCGCCCCTTCGTGTCACAAGAGATGTAGGGTGGAGCGCATCAGATGCATGTTTGAGGCAAACTCAGTAGAAATACATATTGATATCTTTAAAATGCTAGCCTGTTTTACACATTGGTGCCCGATTTGTTATAGCACTGATGAGGGAGGTTCCCACAAAAGCAATGTTTTAAGGGAGCTTTATAAGTGATACTCTAGGGTGATTTTTGACTAGATTCATTTTTCACTTTGGGCTCTAAGTTACAATGTAAGATGCCACTCCACTTTAATGGGATTTCTTAAAATTCCAATCCTACTCATTAGTATGAATGAGAACAGGATGTTCATTCTACATGGTGCGGATATGAACTATGGATACCAGACTGCGGGCCCTGCTTCTGGCGTGGGTAGCAGGTGGAAGCTAGGAGGGGTTGGGGTGGGTCATCACCTCACAATTTTGAGATGGGGTTTTATTTTGCAGATTCATGCATTGATCACAGGCCCATTTGACACTCCTTATGAAGGGGGTTTCTTCCTGTTCGTGTTTCGGTGTCCGCCCGACTATCCCATCCACCCACCTCGGGTCAAACTGATGACAACGGGCAATAACACAGTGAGGTTTAACCCCAACTTCTACCGCAATGGGAAAGTCTGCTTGAGTATTCTAGGGTAAGAGGAGACTTCTAAGTGGCCAAGTTGGTTGTCAGCAAATAACTACTCTAGGTCAGCCTTTATCAACCAAAGTTCCTCACCTGAACCACATACAAAGAAAATGACTGAGTGACCATTTTCTCAATTCTCCCCAGGATGGTACATGACCAGTAGCATTCTGTTGGGTTGTCAGAAAAGTTGTGATGCATTTTTGCTTAGAAAAACAAAAATACATCATGACTTTTCCAATGACCCAATAGATGTAAAGTAGGGAAATTAATTTATTATATGCAGTGGATGTCATATGAAGTGGTTCTCAAGCATGGGCCCTGAGTGGCAGCATTTCCAAACTGGTAACCAAGCAGTTTCTGGGGCCGTATCTTAGATCTACTGTACTACAACTCTGGAGGTGGGACCATCAGTCTTGACTGCAGGTCATTGTGGCACACACTCCAGTTTAAGAACCACTCCTTTAGGGCATTAGGGCTTACTCTTACCCAGACAGGTTGAGAAAGTCTGCAGTCTGTCATTCGAGACTGTGAGTGTCGTATTTTCTGACTCTCAATGAGTTAGTTGCTTTGGAGGCAGTGGCAGCATTGATGATTATGATATTTTCATAATTGAATGAAAATGTCTAAGATTGAAAATCAGATAAGAAGCATAGGAGTTTAGAATATTATCTTTTTGGGGTGCAACTGAGATTTTGCTTTGTGGAGTTCCCATTCATTCCATTTTAATTGCCTTTGTGGGTTAAAAACCCAGAATGGAAATTTCTTTAGATTGGTCTTTTTATTGTGATCTGAATTGCCCTGGGGTGGAGAATAAGTACAGGTTGAAGCTGGGAAAGTTGCCTGTTTGCTTGCTTCCTGTCCAGCACATTCCCATGTTTGTGTCAGGGAAAGGCAGCTGAAACAAACTAGTGATATAATTCATTTTCTTAGAGGTCTCTGAGATCCAGGGATATATTCTGCTGTGATTGTGGCAGTAAGGAAGTCTTTTAAAGGAGGTTGTCCTTAAAGAAGTCCTTTATCTCATTACAGTATATAATTGTCTGTGCTGGTAAGGATGATGATGTGTGTGTGTGTATAAAACCTACAGTGGTAGGTTAACTGCTTTTGTATAAAATTTGTTTGTAAAAGTGGATGTAGTAGGTTCCTTCATTTGGCCAATATAAAATTTGTTTTGAACAACACCAGCTCGCAGTAAGAACAGGACAAGATGGTGGTGTAAAAGTGGCAGAGTGTATTGAGTGGAAATGGAGAAACTACCCTGAAATTGAAATTCTGCTGTGAAGAATCAGAATTTTTTTAAATTCCTGTGTGTGTGTGTGTGTAAGAATTATTTAATTTTGTTTGTTACTATTATTACTTTTTTTTTCCTTTTAATTTGACCAGAGAGAGAGAGAAAGGGAAAGTGAGAAAGCGAGAAAGCAAGCCGCCAGATCTGGGACTTGAACCACAGTTGGCTATGTGGGAGTCCAGCACCCTTAATCGCCATGCCACCTGCTGGCCCTCCCATATGTTTTTAAAATGCACATGTGTTCTTTATTAGTCTCATCCTTTCCTTTCAGCCTGGGAAAAAAATACTGGACTGACTCACTGTCAAAAAGAAATTTGATCAGAGAATTGACCCTGTTGACTTGAATCCCCAAAATGTAGAAGCTTAGAGAGCAGGAGATCTAGAGTTCTGAGGGAGCAAAGAGTTGAGAGGTACTTTGGAGCAACCTCTGATGGAGTTACTGTTGCGCATCACTGGCTGGGGCTTTCCTCAGTTACACAGGGAAGGGGAAGTGGCCAGTTAACTTGAACAAGCCAGTTCTGGCTCAGGTTGTGTTCAGCTTCCATCCCTGGTACCATCTTAATTAATTGAGCTAAAGTAAGTGTCATTAATGTCAAAGCTGCTCCCTGCCCCTAATACTTGATCATGTTTATGAAAGAGGAACAATTTTGATATTTCTCTTCATGTTCGAGATGTTTTTCATATATTATTTTCAGCCCCTCCACAGTCTGAAAATACCCCTTAAACTCTTCCTGTTCTTGGGCGGAGTAATGTGGTCTTGAGAGAATTTGATATTCCTAGAGGGCTTGGTACAGAAGTGGATCCCTAACGACTTTGGTCACCTGTGTGCTTCTGTACTCAACTTCTCTCTCTTCTTACTAACTCCATCACTACCTATTAAAAAAAAAGCAAGCGTGCACAGAAGTTACGTTTAGACAACCTTTTACAGCTATTTTCTTACCTTATTTCATTTTATTATAACCTTCCCTGGTTACTGTTTTTTTTCTAGCACAGAGAAAGCCCTTCAACAGAGGGTCATGCTTGCTTTACCCTCTTCTTTTGACCCACTTGCTATGAGAATTAGGCAGTTGGCTGATTGCTGGTGAATGAGAGTGAGACAAAGGCTGGGAAATTCCAGAGTATTAATAGTGAAAGAGAAACTTATGGTGAGTCACTAATGGTGGTGCTTGTTCCTTGGCCTTTCTGTGGTGGCCTTTCCCGTCTTCTCTGCCTCACCCTCTTCCTTTCCCTTTGATGTGTTTGCAGTACGTGGACTGGCCCTGCCTGGAGCCCAGCCCAGAGCATCTCTTCTGTGCTCATCTCCATCCAGTCCTTGATGACTGAGAACCCCTATCACAATGAACCTGGCTTCGAACAGGTAAGGCCAAGTGGGCCCACCCCTCGGTTATGGAATATCGGGTGTTTTAGGAGACTTGACAGATTGACTTGAAAGTCTTTTTTTTTCATCTTGGACCTGGCACAGCCCATGTATTACACTTTTCACTGTAGGAGCAAAAAGGGAACTGTGATGGGATTTTTTTGGTGGTGGTTCTTGATTTTTTGTAAGAGTTACAGTAGTACTTGTATTGATTTACAGTCATGCACCACTTAACAGTGGAGAATCCATTCTGAAAAATGGGTTGTTAGGTGATTTCATTGTTGTGTAAACATCATAGGGCAAACTTAGACATACTTAGATGAGGCCAGCAGGTGGCGTGGTGGTTTAAACACTGGAATTCCCACATGGCTGACTGCAGTTCAAGTCTTGGATCTAGTGGCTTGCTTTCTCTCTCTCTCTTTCTCTGGCAGAACTCAAGTGAAAATAATAATAAATTAATTCCTTTAAAAAAAAAAAAAAAGAATTGTTGAGACCAGCAGTTAGCGTAATGGCTATGTCACTGGACTCCCATGTAGTTGACCGC